GGAATTGTGGATGAGCAAGATGTGTCAGATATCTGACTTGTACATCAAGTAAATTTTGCTAGAGAACAACAATCATGAGTCTGGAGGTACAGGTCTGTATAGATAGATGAAACAGCCTGACCTTATGCAGGTTGTTCAGACAGCAGTTCTGAAATGGATCACTGCATCTTCTGTGCATGGCTGGCAAAGGTGCAGGGGGATTCAATGGGAGCAACAAGGGCTGCTAAGGAGTCAGCAAACTATTCAGCATTGTTCCACCAGCTTGTGCCACCACACAGGAGCTGAGGATGTAATGTGGGCAGGATGCAGGAAAATACTCTGTCTTGAATGAAAGTCACCATATTTTTTTGCAACAACTTACATGTAACATTTTGCATAAACATTTTGTCTTACATAAGCACCATAAGCACTTATTTGTGGGTGTTTGGACCTGGCAGAAAAGTTGTACATTTTATGGTGTCCTTACACAGCTGAAGAAGTGTGTGCTTGCTGGAGCTGTACTACAACCACTAAGGGTAGCCCCCATTTAATCAAATCCGCGTTTGTTGCTACCAGAGGGTGCCAGACATACAAGGAGGTTGACCAGGGGGACACACAAAGGTGCACCGCACTGAGAAAATCTTGCTTCTACCCAATCCTTCTCATGCTAGTGCAATCAAGGAATGTTCATTTTTATGGGAGCTTGCCTTCAGAATTCTTTCCATAGCCCATGTGCTCATATATTGGAAAGTGTGGCCGGTCAGCAAAGTCCTCCGATTTGTGAACCAGGGCTTCCTTCACTGTTTTATACCCATTCAGCACTACTAGGTTGGTCCAGCAGTTCTGGAGACTGAAGATGTTTCCAAATTTCTTCTGGAGCTGCCAAGATAAAAAAGCATGTCCCTGAAAATGAGCTGAATGCAACACCAGAAATATCACTGTATCCTTGGTTAGGGCATTTACTACTGAGTGAACTTTGAGGTACTTTTATTCAGAGATCTTCAGCTGATCTTTGATCTTGATCTTTGCAGTGCAACAGCTCCAAACAGTGCCAAGCAGCATCTGTAGCAGGGATCAATGCCCTGTAAGTGGAAAAATTTAGAATATGTCTATCCTGGCCAAACTGTTGTCATGAACATTGTGCAAGTACTTTTAATTTTGTCAAGAACCTTTTTAGGGATTTTTAAAGACTGCATGATTGATAATGAATTATTTCCTAATCTTTATATTTATTTTGATTTGAAAGACTAAGTAAGTTCTGAGTTAGTCTACTTCTGCTGAAGGAAATAATAAGGTGATATGTAATTTCTATTAAAATATGCATTTGTACCTAAGGATCTACCCAGAGCCAGGTTTCCAGAAATATGGTTGGGAAAGGCAATTCTACACTGGAGTTTCAGGTCAACTTTCTCCCTAAAATAAGCATGCACATCTAGTATGACTGGTAACAAGCACACACCCTTACAGCTGCTGTGATCTGTAAGACTCATAAAGCTGAATCGGGATGAATGCACAGGTAATCCTCTCAGCCACACACTCACCATGGGAGCTGGCCATGGAGCAAAGCCTTCTCCAGGTAGACAAACCCTTTAACGGGACATGGACTCCTGGGAAGGCAGGTCAAAGCTCCCCAGTTAGGAACACTGAGCAAAGCTCAGAAGCACATTATTTAAAGACAGTGCAATAGTAGCAATACCCCACAGGTTTTTTTTTACTTTTATTTCTGTCCCTTTTGTTTGGTTTAAAGTATAAGATTTTTGATTTCTGCACTGTAGCATTGCAAGGAATGAAGTACTTCATACTGTATTTGCAGTAGGGTTGAAAAGGGAATTAGCACTTCACTTGCAATAGAAATGCATAGTTAAAAATGACTACTGGTCAAGATTGTGGTTAGCATGACCCTGACGTGATATGATTTGAAAACGGTAAGCGTTTGGACTACATGCAAGAAAATAATACAAATGCTGTATTTAGTTTCTCCACTTGGCAGGTTTTGGACAGGCAGCTGAACAGCACTGTCCTAGAAAAGAGGCCTTTAGAGTTTGCAAGCTGAAGCACAAAATACCCATGATTTATCTGCTGCAGGCTGTGAAAGCCCTGCCTTCCCTTTGAGAAAAGCTATGGCCAGACTTTGAATAGGAACACTACTGAGATTTTGGGCATTGCTGCAGAGTCAAATTCCACAAGCTGGTCTCTTTAACTGAAACTGTCACATGGCTGCAGGCATGCTTCAGTAAGACGCAGGGAAGCCTGCCATTCCCAGTCCACAGATATTTGTTTGTCTTCCCTTGTTTGTACCACCTCCTGCTCCTTTGCCTCCAAGCCTGCCCACATGTCAGGCTGGCAGCCAGCTCTACAGCAGCACCTTTCACTGGGGCACAGCAGTGATCTCTCACTGAGCTCATACAGAGAAGGGGAGATAGAGGTTGGGAGGTTCTGGTGAATGATTATCTCTTTCTCTGGGCGGGCCAGGTCAGTGTCCTTGAGCAGTGATCTGCTTCATCCTGGACTTTGGAGAGAGCATTGCCCCTCAGCTTTGTGCAGAGCTAGTGATACTGAAGTTGGCCAGAAATAAACTTTCTAAGATAATTTGAAGTATTGTAAAGCAAGTATGCTTTACTGTAGCACTGGACTCCTCTAATAGAATGATTGTCATGAAATACCCTTTACAACCAGGTATTTATTCCATCACGATCATACATATTCATTGCAGCGTGCTTCCCAGCTACCACATAAACATCACTTTTCCGAGGACTTACCTGCACACATCTGCCTCCTACTGGAAGTCCATTCATGGACCTAGAGGGTCATTGAAAGGTGTTTCTGGGAGTCGTACTCGCTGAGTGCTTCAATATTACAGGTGACCTTTCCTTGAACGTTTTCTTTGGTCATGTGTTCTTGTTTCTTGTTACATAATTTGCCAAAACACTCACTATATTCCTCATTATCTGTTTACCCAGTTTCCAGCTTTGTTTACCATCCTGTGTGCATACTTCTACATTTTTATACTTTTACATTTTTATCATTTTTGCTAGTTAGTCTTAAAGCTCTATCTAGCAACTTCAAGGGAAATGAAAGCTCCTGTTCTCTGTGTTATGTATCTATAGCTGATGCCAGAGTGTGACCCACCCCTCCCGGGCCCACGGTGGATTGCATGTGGAGTGTTTTGTTCAGGGGCTGCCACTCACCTGGCCGAAGGAGTGGTGGGGGTTGTGGAAGTTAATGGAGAACATGGTCCCAATGAATGGCAGCGAGGCTGGGCCTGGTGGGTAACGGCTCCACTTCTTTCTGCGCTTCATGAAGTCCAGCAGTAAAGTAAACACTGTAAGAAAAACTCCCAGTATAGAGATGTTGCTCCAGATGGATGACAGCTGGGACCCCAGCCACAGGAGTAATGCCATTTTGTAGCCTGTATACTCCTGCCTCTTTTTACCCAAGACTGTCACTGCCTCCTTTTGCCTTTCCTCTTCTCCTCTCTCTCACTTTCTTGCCCTGTCAGCTGCCCCTTTCTCCCTGCTTCCTCCTCTTCCCCACACTGCCTTTTTTTGCTGCTCCTCTCTCCCTGCACTGGCTGGCTTTGATTGTGAAACTTGGCCCTGCCTATAAGCTCCTCCTCTGCTCGGTTCAGATTTAGGGGAGCGGTGATGAGGGTCATCCCTCCTCCTCCCCCTATTCTTCCTCCAAGGCCGGAGCTCTGAGGTCTCGGTTGCTGCTAAAAGTGGCAGCTGGTGCTAACAATGTCCGTAAGTAGGGCAGGGCTGGGTGAGCCCTGGGTATTTGTGTGCCTTCTCTCACAGACAAAGAGAAGTTCACAAGCAACGAGTCTTGCTGCATTCTCATGGGGCAATTTGGAAAAAGGTTGATTAAATGTGTGTCACCTTCTTGTTAGTACAGGCAAGTCAAGGAAGAAGCAGCTCCTAAACCCAGATCATATAGGCTTATGTTTGCAGGCTAAGGATAGGAACCATTGGAAGTTGAGGAAGTTCAGGTTAGAGCAAACATTCCCTTACAAGAAAGCATGTACTACAGAATTTAGCTTGAAACAGTCCCCTGAGATTTTAAAAATAATTTATGTTTCTAGAATTAAAATTTTTTATCAAAATCCAAGTGTCAGTCAGCACAATGACCTCAGCTTTTGTAGAACACAGCTCAGCTATAAGGAAGAAGTCACATGTATTACAAGGTGCCTCAAATATCCAGCCTTTGGGGCAGTAGTAATGCCAACACAATTATGGAGTTAGTCAAAATATTTCCTAAAGCAGCGCAGCTGTGTGCTCCTGGCATTCCTGCAATTGGAAATCAATAAACCTTGCTCTTAGGACAGTCAGCTTGAGATAAAAAGAAGCAGTAAACCCATCACAGCTTGATCTGTGATCTCAGTGTGATCAGAGGAAAAGCTCCTATTGGAACAGTTGCTGCAGCAGTGATGGAGAGCTCAGGCTGCAAGGCAACGCAGCTGCAAATGCTGTGCAGGCAGCGCTGGTGTGCAGCCAGGGCTTCAAGTGTCCTTTCCCCTGCCAGGGGAGGCACCTCCATGCTCAATATCTGTGTGTTGACCTTACCTTGCTGGATTCTCCATAGCAGAATCCTGTTTAGAAAGCATTATAACTCAGGGTTCAGCGTTTGTCTCAAGTAGTTTTAAACAAACATGTAGAACGGGAAACAACTGGGGGAATTACCAGCTCCCACGCCACTGCAGAATTGTGATTTCTTCTGAGTTACACAGACATGCCGGAGTGATTCACACACCTGGAGAGTTGCCACAATGGGCACAGTGTCTTCAGGAAGAAGAGGCTGGACACAGTGAGGAGTGGTTTTGTGCTGTGCAGAGGAGTGCCCAGAACTTGGCCATGGGAGAGGTGATGGGCCATCTGAGTGCCTGTGGACAAGGAGAAGGTGGCAAAGCGCTATGGGCAGTGCTGTGCCAGGCACTCACTACAGACTTCTTGGGAAAGGAGAGAAAGTCAATAGAGCCATCCCACACAATCACAGGCTCTAGGGCTAACTCAGAGTGTGCTTTAACTGGAGGGCTGCATGGTCAGGCACAATCTGGGAGGTTTCTTGAGTGTGCTCAAGACAGCTTCATGACACAGGCTGATTGAAAAGACAACAGGAGGAGATGCTGTGCTGAGTTTGCTGTTCACAAAATAGGAAGACTTGGATCAGGATATGATGATCAAGGATGAATTTGCCTGCAGCAACCATGAAACTGGGAAATACTGAATCCTGCAAGGAATCAGCAGTACACACATCATTACTGCCCTTACCTGCAAGACAGCAGGTTTCATTTCATCTATGCATATCCTTTGCAGGATCCCAAAGGGAGCTGCCCTGGAGAGTGAAAGGGCTCAGGAGAGCTGGTTGTTCTTCGAGAGCAAACTCCTCAGAGCATGAGATCAGTGTGTCTCATTTATTTCCTGGGCACCGCAAAGCCTTTAACACCATTTTCTACAGTAACCTTTTGGCTAAATCCATGATACACAGACTGGCAGGGTAGCTGATAAAGTGGGTGGATGATTGTTCAGATTGCTGGGCTGAAATAAGTGGGATCAACAGTACAGAGTCCAGCTGGTTGATGATCACCAGTGACGTCCCTTAGGTGTTTATACTGGGGATGATAAAGTTCAGGTTATTAACAACATGGCTGATGGAACAGAGAGCATTCTTGGCACGTTTGGCCTGGGGCAGCTGCCAGAGCTGAACTCTGTTTGAGGTTTGTTGGCTTTTGAGTACCCTCCATGTTTTAAATAGATTTAGTGTGAGGTCTCAGGAGACAGAGCTGCAACAGTTCCCTACTCAGTGGGTTGGCTTGAGCAGGAGATGGATGAATGATAAAAGGTGATCAAGGGCTTCCTCCCACATTGATTTTCATGATGCATGTGCTCAGATGACAGAAAAAATATGGGAAATGTGGTCCAAAGAATGTCAGTGGACATTTCCTTACCACCCCACCAGTAAAAGGATGTTACCTTGCCTGTTTCACTTTATTTTTAGCTTGATCTTTATGAACTTTGGCTGAAAGATATCCACTAGGTCCTTTCAGTTTTGCTTACCTTGGCTAGAGCCAAAGGCTGTTGGACTCCCATCATTCACCTGTGGGCTCTAACAAGGATGGTTGATCAGAATTCAGGAAGTGGATTTAATTCTAATTACCATCACCCTTCTGATGGGAGGCCACCAGAATAGGAACACTCCAGCTACTCTGCTTCCATAACTCATCCTTGACATAAAGTGACAAAGCTGTAACCTGAGAAATGAATTAGCTTAAGAAAAAAACCTACACTGATACTGACTTCCCAATTGACTCCAAATCTTTCCAAAAGGTCACTTGGTAAATGATCCTTTCCTGCAAACTTGACAGCTCCTCCACTTTTGGCTAGTAGCATGGATGGCCAGTCCTGCAAAGGAGTGGAACAACTGCTATAGCTTCATAATTTCAAAAGAGCAGTTTTCAAAGCCAGCAAAGAAACAATAGACAACAAATCTCTTTCTGACAGAGAGAAAGAGAAAAGGGTTATTTATTCTTCTGAAGAATAAAATATGTTAATTTGCATTTATTTTCAATAAAGTAATATTTTGAGCAATTTTCAAGTCAGGGATAAAACCCTCCAAATACATACATATTAATTTTAGCTAACTGCTGCCCTGCTGTGCTGGCTGCATGTGTTTGACTGTGCACAGTCAATTTAGAGACTGGAGGCCAGTGGGCGAACAGGGAAGGAGTTCATGGCCCTCCCCTGGAGGGAAAAACCCCTCAGGTCATAACCTCCCTGTTAGGGTGAGGCAAAAGGCTTCTCCCAGCATGCCTTGCTGTGACATGCAGATTTAATGTATCCCATTGGCCCTTCCCCCTCGTTCCACTCCTTGTGCCCTCATCCCACTGGCCCTGGTGTTCTGCTCCACCCTTGCAATCCCTATCTAACCCCTGCTTTCCCTGCCTCCGTGGCTCTTTGTCCCTGGACCCCTTTGAGGAAGAAGCTCAATAAAGGCTCTCCTTGGAACCCCACAAGAAGACCCCATTTCTCCTTCTGAGTTGCCGCGATCACAGAAGAGCTGAAATCACCGGCGTAGGCACAGACATTCCTGTGCCCCCAAGATGTTGTTTTCAAGACGTTTCTTCAGGCAAACCATGGCATTCTGAACAACACCCGCCACAATAAGAGAGGAGCTAAGTGGAATTACAGAAGTTGCATGCAGACATCACCATTCTTTGAGTGTAGACGTTGAAATACAAGCAGTAAGGCAGCTTTAAGAAAAAGCTTATTAATAGTGGAAAACAAAGCATTCAGAAGCAAGATAATGCAGGAGTTGCCTTTTTTTTTCTTTTTAAAGGCAATTTTAGTTTGAGCCTTTTTGTCCATATTGTCCATAAGATCATATTTAATTATAATTACATGCTATATTTCCTTTTTGAAGGACTCTCTCTTTATTCAGTGTACAGAATAGATGATGATCGCTTACTAATCTGGTTTAATTACAGCATTTGTCTTCAAAGTCTATTTTGCCACCTACTGTTCACACCCTGCCCATAAAGGTGGTTTATATAGGCTTTTCCACAGTGGTCATCAGTGCCTGCATGGGTGAGGAGCAGATAGTCATTTGTCCCTAAAGCATTCCTCTGAGATGCCACCAATGGAGGCAAATGACCTTCTAAGTGTTGGAACTGAGAGTAAAAATCTAGAAGGTGCCACACACAGCTGTCCATGGCACATGCCCAGCTCCCAGCTGAGGCTGCAAGCAGCTTCTGCAGATCTTCCTGCAAGATCACAGCTTTGGTACCCTGGACATGGAGGTCACAGATTAATGCCTGTTTATAAAATTTGCTGTTTCAGTAATTACCCAGCATCACATACGTCTCTCTCCACAACAGTGGGGTGAAACCCTTCCAATAGCAAAGAAATGCTCCTCTTTCCCTCCCTCTTTGCTTCAAGTGTGGAGCCAACCAGGAAACACTGGTCACATAGCATGAATATTTCCATGAGCTTTCAGAAATTTTTCAGAAATCCCAGCAGGCTGACTGCTTTCCCCTTAACACCTCAGATGTAAATGGACACAAACCCCAGCAATTTTTCATTCTGGAAGAGGAAAGCCTCTTGGAACAACATTGGTCAGTGTGAAGCCTGCTTCTCTCATTCCCTGGCTATTCATCTCAGGCTACAGCAAAGCTGGGGCTGGTGAAGATCCCAGAAACCTTTCCTCTTTGGTGGCCTCTTCTAAGGCAAAAAAACACATGGTCTCCCACCGAGTCTCAGACTTTTTTTCTGATCCTTCCTGCACCTCCTTTTGCCAGCACACAATCTCTCCTTTGCCTGTTATGCCTTCACTCAGATGGCTTTCCCTCCTGACCCTTTTGGTGCTGGAAGGGGCAAGGGGTGCATGGCAGAGACCAGCTTCACACTTGTCATTCACCCTTAGCAGACCCTGGCAGCCAGCAATAACCACCACCTGCTCCACGCAGACATCTCAGGGGAATTTTAGATGAAAAACTGAGAGCTCTTTCAGGTGCACGCAAACTGAGTTTTCAAGTGCTTGTAGCATAGCCAAGTTTGAGCACTGCTTTAGAGAGCTGGTGCAATGTGTCTTCCTAACAGAAAGCTGCCTCCTGCCAAATTTTGTGTGTAATGCTTCGAGGCATTAAACTGAGAAAGGGAAATAGCACCAGAAATTTTTCTAATGGGTTAGGAGAAGGTCAGATAAACAATGGATTTCTAAGAACGATGTCAGCTGTTAAAAAGGCATGAAAAAACTTTTGGCTGAATGTTCCCAAACAAATTTAGCCTGAAGCACAACCCCAACTCTGAAAATTTTAGTCTCAGCTGGTTCTTTGTGACTTTCTTGGCCTTCAGATGCGGGTTTTAAACATTAGAAGTACTTCTACAGCCTTAAGATGGACTGTGCTAACAGCTTGTTCACAATAAAGCAGTCAGCAGAACTGAAATAGCCAAGTCTTTCATAGTTACTGTTACTATGACTTACTGCCAGCCTTCCCACATTGCAAAGAAATCTGTTCTTCAGGCTTTTTTTCCTTAAATTCTCCACGGTTTCCTACCCTTTTTCCTGTATCAGTCACACCAGTACACTTCTCAGCAAAGTGAGTTGTAGTTGAACTTTACTTATTTCACCCATCCCTGCCCATACCAGTACCCCTCATGCCATCCCAACCCCATAGATGTTCCTTGCCCTGCAAGAGCAATGACTCTGAACTTGGTACCAATAGCAATGCATGTCCTAGGCCCCATCTTTCACCTCAGAGAGACAACTCTGTGCTGGTGATGGAAGATGTCAGACGGGCTCCAGTGATGCTGTGAGCAGCTTGGCAGAGTGAGCTGTGCAGTTGCTCCAAGCGTCAACATCTGGACAAATAAAGCAGCCACTGAGATGAACTCACCCCTAGAAAATCTTGGACAGTAAGGGCTGAAAAATCAAACTGATAAGAGCAGAATGGCTTTATTTTGACTTGCCATTTCACAGAGCTTGAGGACTGAGCTTACACGTAACACTGCCCAGCAATTGTTTTACCAGCTCAGGAAGCCCAAAGCTGTGGTTATGGGACCTAACCAAGCATCCTCATCATGTTAACTGAAGTTAAACAGAGATCAAAGCAAGCTGACTTGGTTTTAATTGCCACATTCAGGTTCTCTCACACGCTAAAATGTTCCCACTGTTACTTCAATCTGAGTTGGCCAAACAGAGCTCAGCATGTGCAATTTCTAAGCCCAGCGCAGGGAGGTAACGAATCAAGGTGCTGCTTTGCACAGTCTGTGATTCCAGCACTGGCCCAAAATGCCTCCTGAAGATTCCATTAAACCTCTGTGATGTATCTGAGCTTTGGGAAGATGCCTGCTCATTCGGAAAATGACTGGCAGCAGTTGCCTTTACTCACACTCTCTTGTGAAACTGTCAGAGAAACATGGCTTACGCCCCCAATACCATAGACTGTTGATTTCTCTCAGCTGCTGGTTTTGGTTTCCTGCTTTTTAAGTTTCTTAGGAGCTGTGAATATATTGCTATACTTTTCATTTTTGGTTTAATACTGGTACCTTGGGGTTTTTTTTGCTGTAATGAGAGCAACTTGGGGAATTTTTGACACAGCAACTGGATAAAACCCTGTTATTAACTTTCTTTCCATAAGAGAT